AAAGACAGTGTTTGTCTTGAGTAGAGCCCAGCCATGAATTCACGTATACCTACCCTGCGCCGGACTGCTGTTTTAGCGAGAGACTCCCGATACTTTCTGGACGTGCTACACTTACGAAGTGGAAGACGAAATGGGCTGAGACTGACGTTCGTCCAACCAAAGGAAATAGAGACTGAAACGCCACCTAATCACTTAGCAAGAGTGTTCGTCTATGACTGGGATTCTAATAGAAAAGGTAACTCCTGGTGAATGCCACTTTTAAATGTTGAACTAGCTTTTCCTTTTATCCTGCTGGGTAAGCAAAAAGTCTAACTTTGTAAGAATGGAGTAAAAAAACTACCAAAACTTTGTAGTGCACCCAACACTAATTTGGAAAGACAATGCACCGATCAACAGCATCACCAACAAAACTAATTAGTAATAGGTAGGTATAGGGCTCCTCTAATGCATACTGTTACGATAGACTTCTGCAGCGAATAAGTGCTACATTACCAGATAACAGTTTGATAACAGAAGGTACCACATTACGGTGTCATTTTAAAATTGATAGGTATGTCCTTTCTATGACAGATGCGGCTGCCTTCGGCTCGAAATTGTTGCTGTCCCCCGGATCCAGCGTGGAATACGTCACCACATCCACCAGACGGCTACTGCTGCCTCGTCCAGGCGCCAACTGCAACCTGGATAGAAATTACAGCCGTAGATACTGCGTACGAGGATGCATCGCGCGCTTGAAAAATCATTTAAGGCAGAGGTAAATAATAAAAGCATTGAAGGCCTCTTTTGCCCTTGAGTTGCTTCCTTGCGCTTATGGCATCATGTAACATGGTCAAACACAGTTGTAGGTAAGTATGTACATGCTAAAAATATGCTGCATAGTTTTCAAAACTGATGAGTGTCTGAAACGTATCTGAAGTGAGTTTAGTCGTCCTCTATAGGATTTGGAGTGAAACTAGGGCGAAAAAAAAACTGAATTGGCATTGAACTACGCACATTGTTGCAGGTGTCAAATGCAATCTCGATTCCCACCGCTATTTTTCATGTGAAAAATATTTAGTTGTGACAAATCATCTTTTTCAGTTGCGACAATGGGATCCTAGATGGATCCACATGCTTTTCCAAAGCCAACAAGGTGAGGATGTATCAGCTCATTGCGGTTTTACGCCTGGTGATAAAATTAAGCATAATTTTAAAATAATTAAAAATAAGCATAACTGTACACAGATAAGAGTATGTTTGACGCAAACATAAGTAGAAGTTAAAATTAATTTCGCTGCCTGAAACGGGGATCTTAACTTGATATAGCAAATATCATTCAATCAAGCAGCTCAAAAAGCATCGTGTAATTGGACGAAGGAGAGCATGATGAACGGGCCTGCTTCGTCGACTAACAAATACATTCTCTCTTGCTTGTTTGTTGTAGGATGTAGGTGCAGGTAGGTACTGTGTGATGTTCGGGCGGATTGATCAGTTTTTAATTGGACTTATCCATTCCCAGAGCGTGTAAGTCCGTTTATACGATAGTCTTACCGTTCAATATGCCCGTATCTACGAGTAATCTATATGTAAGCATGCATGCATGTATGCATCCATGAATTATTATTCATCTGTACATATGTTCATGGATCGGTACATTTGGAGTAAATGCTCCAGCAGCATCCAAAATCGATGAATGTTTGCGTTTTTTTCGAGAAAAAAAACGAAAACTAAAAACAAAGCGATGGAAACTTTGTTTTAAGCTGCACATCAGTGCGTGAGGAATCGAAATCCGACGACTTTTTGGAAGTTGGAGAGACTTTCCTGGAGTACACCCCCCCCCCCCCCCGCAGCACCCGCAACGCCCAAGACCGCCTTTTTTATCTTCCAGTGTGAGCATCTGTGCATCCGTCCGTCCGAACTACTTATCTTTACGTTTAGGTATACTACGTTTGTTATCCCTCGCCAGGCCAGGGCCTTTTTCATAGCGCGGACGGCCAACGGGGGGGGGAGGGGGGTACGACTCCCTGGTGATTGGCTCCTATGGCACTCACAAACGCCAAAGTTACAGGGTAGATGTGCCCATAGGAGATCTCACCCCTGTGCAAATTTGGTTGCTCTAGGTCATTAATCAGGTTTTTTGGGAGGTGCAAATGTAAAAAAAAAAATTCGCTAAAACAGGTCAAAAGTGTTTCGCTTATAACTTTTGGTCTAATTAAGATAGAGCAAAAATAAAAGCACCAGTGAACTCAGCACGTCCGTGCGCATCGAATGGTATGTTTTTTTTTACAAGCGTAAGTGGACTAAAAACTTTCGTAATTTTCAAATGGACTTAATTAACTAATTAAGTGCAGGTTAACCAAACTACATAATATCGCATATCATTCGATTCGGCTTGTCACAAGAAACACATTGACACCATTTTGAAGCTCTAGCCCCATTGTGTGCGAATTTATTAGCAAAAACGTAGTTTGAGCTCATTTGACCTCAGATGGCCTGAAGTGTTTTTTTCCAGCAAGCAAACACCGAATTCATCTTTAACGGAGCTAATACAACACGAAAACGTTTAAATGGAGCATATTATGATCATGTCATGCTGGTTAAATAGCTCACCACATAGCGACTATGCCCACGGTTTGACAGTGACTTCGTGTCGGGTTGGTTTAACATCGGGCTATAGCTCGGGAGGGTTTGGGTTCGATCCCAATCGGATCTTTCCGTTTTCCACTGACTTTTTGATCTTATATGCACTTAGAACACCATCGACATTCGTTACCTTTCAGTCATCAGTTACTGGCCAATCATATCAAGATTACTTTTACTTTATCATGTGTATGTGTATCGAAATCTTTAAATTCGTAGATGGGTCTCATTAATCATCCTACAATCATTAAGTTCCTCATTCGACGCCATAACTGGGAGTCGTTATTGATGTGAGTTGTGACCTCGTCAGAACCGACGTGCAAAGTGCGGAAACAGCTGCTGTGCTGTGGTGGCTATGCATCCTGCCCTTTTCATTTTTACGGCATCGTGAATACCACGGCCATGAGTAATGTGAGGAGGGCGCTGGTCAGGATGGCGCTTTACGGTGAAAAGGGCGCTGACAGGTCAGGAGGACGACGTATAGTCAGGAGAGCACCAGCAGGTCAGAAGGGCGCTGTATGGTGATGAGGGCGCTATACATTGCGGATGGCACCGACTGGTCAGGAGGGCGCTGAACGCGAAGATGTCGCCGACAGGCGAGGAGGGCGCCGACAGGTGAGGAGGGCACTGCACGGTGATGAGGGCTGCAACAGATCTGGAGGGCGCTACGTGAAGAGGGCGCCGACAAGTCAGCAGGGCGCTGTATGGTGGGGAGAGCGCCGGCAGGTCAGGAGGACGCCGTGTGGTGATGATAATGCTATACGATGAGGAGGGCACTATACGAGTGAAAAGGGCGCTGACAAGTCAGGAGGGCACTGCTTAAAGAGGAGGGCGTGGACAGGTGAGGAAGGCGATATACGGATGGCGATCCACGATCATTTCGGGGCGCCTTTGGCGCCCCGAAATAATCGTGGAAGGCGCCATCCAGGGCGCCTGATAGACTTGGGAGGGGCTAAAGCCCAGTGTGCCCCCCTCCCTTGGCTGCGCCCCTAATAGCAGGCGAAATCAGTGAGGGGACCGACCGTGCGCGGCTACGTGCGCACGTTAAACTTTTGACTCTAAATTCTGCCATAGAACCGGAATTGCGAGATCGGAGGGTAGAGGGCAGGGTCAATGCAACAAGCTTTGCTTAGCAGGGGCTCTGTTCTTGTGAATCCTTCCAATTAAAAAGGTTAGAACTGAATTTATTTTCAAAAAAAATGTTTATGTTGCTATGCTGTTTTGCCGGCATCTGCAATTTCCTAATTTGTGATGGTAGGTAACGTATATGTATTGCTTTTGCCTGTTTCGCCGATTGGGGCGATTATTCTTATGCGCTAGCTGCCTTGGTTTGAACATAATTTATCGTCAGGGGCTTACTACGATGAAGTCCTTTACTTAATTATTACTAGCATCAACCCCCCCATCCATCCCCGTGCCGGCGAGGGTTAACGGTGTGACTTAATCCATGCCGTTGGCAAACGGCTTGAGTTTTCTTAACGACTTGCATACGTTTTTTACGAAGAAGGCGTACAAGGCAACCCACCCTCGTCCATCTGTGCCGCATCTTGTATGTCACATCGCATCAGCTCGGCATTAAGGCTGGCGCAGTGCCGTCAACGGTGGCGAATCGAGCGGAAAACAGAGTCCCCGCGCAGTGCCACCGTTTTCGGACGGATGCACATCGTGCAATTTGTGGCGCCGATGAGCCCTCGGAATTCGGGACACGTGACGACAGTGGATTCCGCTCCATTGTGGCGGAGAATCAGCGAAAGCGCTCTAGTATGAGCCAAAATGATTTGCAATTGTGTCCTGAGATTTAGTGATATTGATCCTGTAATATTGCGGTGGCGTTGGGTGCCGTCACATAATGCAAAGTCGCTACAATAAAAATGTTTGTTGGTAAGAAGACAAGACTGTAGGTATCCGTATCTCAATTCTCTATCCAGATGTCCAAAGCGTCCAAATGGAATAAATTTTGGGTTAGGAATTGCCTCAGTTAGCCACGATCATAGTTCAGTATATTTTCAGATAAAATTGACAAAGTGCATTAACATCATACAAGTCAGCATATTATTTAGATATCTAAAAACGTAGCCATCAATATATTATCGCCTCAGCGGAAATAGGTATGTACATGGAAAGACATATAACAGCTAAAAATATGTCAAACCTTTACCTACTCGAAACCGGAACCACCATCTCAAGAATATGCCATCTATGCTTTGTATAAACCAAACATATACATTTCACAATCTAGACATTTTTCACCTTCTTGCAACAGGTAGTTAGCTCGATCGAATTAAATTTAGTAAACAATGATTTATGAAAAAACAGCGAGAAAGGGAACAAGAAAATGAAAAGTCTGTCCTGAATCCATTTCCCAGTTGGCTGTGGTGAAATTACTCTCGGGCTCCCTCGTTGGCAAGCTTATGACACCAGGTCATATAGTTGACGGGCCGCATCTTCAGTTCGGCCTGCTTCAACGAGTACTTGTTGCCCTTCCACTGGTGCCAAGTAATTCCAATCCAGTGTTTCTTCATCGTTTTCGGCACGTACGGACCTGTCAGAGTAGTATGCATGCAGCTCTTGTGCCACCACGCGTTCTGGTACTCGACAGCGCATTTCTTACTCCAGGTGTCGTTATCCTGATCCTTGGTCGAGAACTTGGCCCCATTGCTGAGCGACGTCAGTGCGTCGCCCGTCTTGCCCTCGTACTTGCCGACCTTCAGCACGTACTTCTGCTGCTCGGAGCCCACAGAGAACGGTGTGTAGGTGGACGAGACAGAGTTGTTCTCCCAGTCCTTCAGGTCCACACGGAGCTGCATCTGATCCATGCTGGTCAGCAGGTTCATGTACTCGTTGCCCAGCCAGAACTCGGCGCTGAGGTTGCCGAAGCCCCACTTGTAGCTGTCCCAGCCGAGGTCAAAGTCCTGGTGGTCGGGGAGGTCGGCGCGCCTCAGCAGCACGGTCCAGCCGCCGCCGTCCGTGTCCATGTCGCAGTAGACGCGGATGCCGCCGCCGTTGCCGCAGACAGGCGGGTAGATGGTGTAGACGCCGCTGCGCTGGTGGCGTTGCTGGACGGCCGCGCAGTCGGCCGGCCGCCACTCGTCCGTCCGCTGGAACTGGTCCGGGAAGCTGCACCGCTCCACGATCACGGTCGTGGTGGCCGGGGAGGCGGCGGCGGCGGCGGCGGGCCGACCCTCCTCCAGCAGCGTCACCAGCCGCTGCTGCGTGTCGTTGAGCTGCGCCTGCAGCAGCTGCTCCGACTGGCGGATCTCCTGGCTGAGGGTGCTGACCAGCTCCGGGTCGGCGGGCGCCGCCCGGGCCTCCTGCAGCACCCCGCGCAGCTCGGCGGCGGCCTCGGTCAGCCGGCCGCTGCCCAGCTCCCTGTACAGCTGCAGCACGCTGTTATCCAGCTGCGCCAGCTGTGTGTCCACCGTGTGCGTCAGCGACTCCAGACGGGCGGCCAGCTGGATCAGACGCTCGTCCATCCTCTGTAGCCGGTCCGACAGCGCGCCAGCCGAGGGCTCCGAGTCCGCGCCGATGCCAGAATCCAGAGGGATGTCGTGAGCCTGTGTGTTGCCCGCACGGAGAGCGGCGCAGCTCAGCAGCCAGCACAGCACCAGACGCATCCTGACTGAATAGACTGGGTTCGCTAGCCGAATACCGCTCAGTCGTCTGCGAGCCCCGTATTAGAAGTGCCGGTTCAGATCTAGCGGCGCCCTATAAATGAATAACCAAAGCCGAGCCGTATGACGATAAATACCAAACATTCGTGGAGTATGGTATACGACATAGTTTGATGCGACATAGCTCATAACTTTGGTATGGTTTTTCCGACGAATTTCCGCTCACTGTGGCTGCTCAAATATCGGAAAATTATCTCTGTTGCCCAAGTGCTTGGGTGTTTTTAATACTTATCGGAGCTTCACTAATTTCGTTATCAATGATACACCACTAATTGGTCCTGTGTATATACAAAATCAGTAAACACGGATCTGCTTGGGATGACACAGTGACGGTGATTGCATTCATTGGGAAATTTCTTGTTTACCCTGTTGCAACCTCCGGGGTAGAACGTCGCACAATTTAGCCACCAACGATTCGCCAAACCACCGATAGGAGTAGAAAGGCTGTCTAGGTTTTACAAATAGTGATAAGAATCGAGCACAGTTTGGAATTTTTGAAGTGGGAAGACCAATTGGTGATGAAGGCCAGGATCTCCGACACATTTCAGATGAGATGGTTTCCTTCACATTTTTCTAATAAAGTAAAACGGTTGTGCATCTTTAATCAACAAATTTGCCACTAACTTTGCCATTAAACCTTATACACATGTACGTACCTACTTATCCATTCACAATCTTTGTATAGATTTTATGATTTTCATAGTTTCATTAGCAAATTGTTCCCGCGCACCGACGGGGGTCTGCGCCAACTTCGCACCGACGGGGGGGGGGCGGATGACCGCCCCCCCCCTGAGATCTCGAGAACGAAGCAAGATAGCGACAAGCGGTAAACGGCATCGGATACGCACGGCCAAGATCTACAATTTTACTAAGGTCATTTTCAGGTCAGGTCAAAGATGACGTCACAGGAGTCGAAAAAGTCAAAATGGCGGCGCTAGATATGGAGAGTTTTTCTCGAATAACTTTCGAATTAGTCAAGATAGGAACAAACTAAGGGCATCATCGTGATCCTCTCGTCAATCCACATCGAATGGTATATATGTTGACCTCGAAAGGTCAAGGTCAAAGGTTGACCTCAGGTCACGTGACCTCGAGGTCATCATGTATATCATTCGATGCGTCTTGACGAGCTGAACACAATGAGACCATCCACGCGTCTGTATCTTGTTCCTGTACGGAGTTATTGGCCAAAAACCTTTGGTGACCTTTGATGACGTCACATGACCTCACAGCTGCCCAACAGCAAAACAGACCTCAAGGTAGTGAAGGTTGATCGTATATGAAGTCATGTAAAGTACATATATGGGGCCATTCCGACCCGTTTTAGTGGTAAAAACAGGGAGTTGATTTTTCCTCCATTGACTTATAATGGGGAGGTCGCGAAATTGACCTGACCTTAGGTCACCGATATCAAAATTCCGAGATATACAAATTGTAGCTACTGATGACCTAATAATATCCTGCGACTTTCAAAGGCCTCCGACATCTACTGTAGCTGTGGCACGGTGACAAAGTTGCAAAAAAGTGACTTGAGGTTGGGTCATTCAAAGTGACCTGGTGACCTGACCTTAAAAGATAGGAAGTTCAAACTTGCACATCATGTGTAAAATTGATGAGGTTACAGTCATACCAAATTTCGCGGCGCGTAGGTTTTCCCGCTATTCGCGAAAAACCTCAGGGGGGGGGGCGGATATCCGCCCCCCCCGTCGGTGCGCGGGTTAAGCCGTTTTTATGATGAGTGAAAGCAAACGCATCTCATTAGTCCACTTCTCCGCCTGAATTAGAGTCTCTTGTGAATTTACAAGATGATGCTTCTGGCCAAAAGCAACTTTCGGAAGACGTTGGCAGTGAATGGAAAACATGTTTTGATTACGACCCTCACCAGTCGAATAATTGCTTCCATCTCTTCTGTTCACCGATGCAACGGGAGCGCAGCTGACTACATAAATCCGCACATAATAGTTCCAGAAAGCAATTGGAACAACAGTGAGAGAGGAATGGATGCCACTTATACAGAGCCATTGAAAGAGACAAGCGGGAGGCACAAACACCACAAACAAGCGACGCCAAACTGCCCAGAGTTCCGCTCCTCTTCCTGGGCTTCCCCATTGAGTAGTCACGGAGGTGGCGACGTCATATTTCTGACAAAGCATCTTCATTATGTAAAGGTTTATCATTATATATATTTAGGTAATTAATTATAGGCTGTTTACTTCCAGACCCTCGATATCATAATCGGTGAAATATTCGAGGACGATGAAGATGACGACGATGATGAAGATGAAGTCAACGATGCTGAACTGCTTCGCAGGTGTGCAATTCCTACCTAACTAGTTATTTAAGCATTCCATTCATTTGGGCATATATGTACAGGTTTCGCAGGTTTTAGCGACAGGTTTTGCACCTATGAACTTTAGTATATTTTCGTCGTCTTAGGCTTTTAAGTATTGAAGATGCGATCGATTTGTTCGTTCAAAAGGTTGCCATTATCGTATAAAATGGCTTCATGGTAGATCGATTAGTTTCTGATATATAACGGGAAATATAAAAGGGCAAAACCTGCCGCCTAATCTCGCGAGAGCCGTACACTGTGCTTGGAGGGTTGGATCTTTGGGCGTCTCATTAAACAGTTGAAAGCACCCTTAAGTAATTTGCCGATTGGTTGAAATTCACGTTTGGACTTTGGCAGGTAATTTCCTTCCTCTGATCTTTTGTCCGCGGGATAAAGTCAGCAGCTCTTAAATAAAGGGATCTGGGTGTGTGTAGAATTTCAACCAATAAAGTTTAAAAACACTTTTTAAGACGATTTAAATACACCTATTTTCCATACGAACATAATGTGCCTAATCAATTGGTCAGGAAGGGGTGCAAACTGCAGCTGGTCTCACTTTGTCGCATTTCCGATGCCTCTCTGCGTCTGTTCAGAGCCACCATTGACTGTGCCAGTCAATGTCCGGACCGGTGCCTGAGAAACGAGTACTCCATCAGCCTGCTCAACTCGGCCCAGCTGCCGGCCAGTTACCGCGGCGCGGCCGCGGCCTCTCTCAGAATATTTGTCAGTCCGCGGGTGGAGGTAAGCTGGGGCATTCCACGATAGATCGTACCACTTTTTTCCAATTTGACACCCTCATCTCTCGGAATTTGACGAGAATTGGTCTCAGGGGTAATCAGGGGCTCTGAATCCACCTGTAACAATTTCAGGCTTATCAGATAAGTATTTTTTTGAGTTATGGTGTATAGCATTTTTTGGATCTTGCTTTGCAGCGCTAAGTTTGGCGGGCTGTAACTCTAAGACGGATTATTCAAATGCCAAATGTTATATAACATTGAACTTGCAATGAAACAGAGATTAATATGTATTTTTGAAATTTCGAAAAATACGCTATTTTTGATATATGACATATCGAGTTTTCTTTCATTTGTATTTTTTGGACTTTGGGACCAATTTTTTTTGAATTTTTATTTCTTTAAAAAAATATTTGGCTAATTGTTAAGAAGTATGCCAAAAATTAGGAAGGTGTTCTTTCTATAAATGTATTTTCCGCTTCCCCTTCGAGCTGCCAGCAAACATAGAAACAATTAGCTATGCTATTCGTTACCAATCTCAGCGCAAACCTCACAACCAAGTCCCTCCAGGAAAACACTGTAGCTGTACAAAAAGGGGCTATTGGTATATTCAGCCCAAATGAACACGACACAAACATACTAGCAAGTATACATGTCTCAACCAAGACTGCCCTGCCAACGGGCCGCCACCCCTCCCCCCGCGCGGCGCAATGGTGTCCCCACCCAAACTAGAAACCCTGTCGTGTGTGTCCTCCCCCGGAAAAAGTCCTAACTAGAAAAAAAACCGGGGGACCTAGTTGGGGAAAAAACCACATTTTGTGGAAAAACCCATCTTTATTTAAGAGTGTGGTGCGTGTGAAAAAAAAGCCCCAAAAATGGTGGTGGGTGGGTGGGAAACGCAAAAACATTTCAGAGCGAGAACACTGCTGACTTGCGTCAGACCGGGCGGCTTAGAACAGAGTGACCGCGCAAATGCACTCAAACCCCGCGCCGTCACCGTCACGTGACACGAGTCGCTCCACCAATCAGAGGAGGCCGCCGCCTTAGCGGCCTTGCCGCCCGGGGGCGCAGGCGGCCGCCCGCCTGCCGCCGAACGCTGCTCGCCGAGGCCGGCCCGGCTCCGGGGCCGCCCCAGAGAAGACGCTCGTAGTGTCGCGGAAAAACCGGTTATATCTTGTCATATATAACCGGGCGTATTTTCCGCTTCCCCTTCGAGCTGCCAGCAAACATAGAAACAATTAGCTATGCTATTCGTTACCAATCTCAGCGCAAACCTCACAACCAAGTCCCTCCAGGAAAACACTGTAGCTGTACAAAAAGGGGCTATTGGTATATTCAGCCCAAATGAACACGACACAAACATACTAGCAAGTATACATGTCTCAACCAAGACTGCCCTGCCAACGGGCCGCCACCCCTCCCCCCGCGCGGCGCAATGGTGTCCCCACCCATTCAATACATCCACCCAGACACCAATGCGCCAAAATAAAACACCCCCTTCCCGAGACCAGCAGACCGAATGGGGGATACAAATTAACACAAAAAGACCTATAGTCGCCGCCAGTGTCGAGACCAGTGGCGGAACCCCTCAAATACGTGCTTGGTTGAAGGTAGGTAATTATTTCCTCAACCTGGCCCGAAGCTTACCAGAAACGCCACGATCCCCTAAAACCTGCCAACATGAATGTGAGCGATACAGCGGTCACCAATGAAGAACAATATTACGGCATTTATACCGAAGCCCTTGCAGCAGGACTAACAACCAGTAGCATTAGCCACTACTGCGATGATAGCCTCCACCAACTAAAGGCCCTCGATATACCCGCCGAAAAAAACAACCATCCATGAGTTCTGAGGCCTCTGACAACAGAAGCTGTATTTTCCTTGACCTTGAACCTATGCACAATGCACATGCCTATCAGCGCGACCATGAATTTTCCCAGAACCTTGGAAGGGGTTATAGAACAGTATCAACGAAGGTCGTTGACAGCCGCCCAGCAAAAAAGGGGAGGGCTCTCGGCCCGCTCCAGGAATCAGCGCTCTAAGCCGCCGTAAGGACACCCGCGCTACCGGGCGTCCTAGCGGCAGCCACCTACGGGTAGACTAGCGAGCCGCCCCGCGGCCGTTGTAGAAGGTGGAAGAAGGGAGCATCCCGAGCAGCACCAGGGGCCGTGAGAAACGGCTTCCCCGGGCAGACTAGCGAGCTGCTTCTTTCTTTTATTATTGCTAATGTTAATTATTATTGTTATTATTGTTATTATTGTTATTATTATTGTCATTATTATTGTTATTATTGTCATTATTATTGTTATTATTGTTATTATTTTGGCGCCGTCCCCCCAAAAAAGCATGGTAACCCAATGGTTGTTAGGCAACTGACAACAGAGGCCACAGTTACCGTTACGTGTACCTTAATCCCTGTGATATGCGTGGCAATGATAACGACCATGAATGTTACCTAAAACTTTGCAAAGGTTAAAACAGTGACCACGAAACTATAGGTAATCAGGTCATAGATAGCCGACCAGCAAAAGGGGAGAGCTCTCAACGCCCGCCGGCATCCACATTCAAAACCGCCGGAATGACGCCTGCGCTACCGGCGTCCTGGCGGCAGCCACCAACGAGCAGACGAGCAAGCCGCCCCGAGGCCGTTGTAGAAAAACACATCCCCGGCAAACTAGAGAGCTGCCCAGAGGCCGTTGAAGAAGGGGACTACCACGGGCAGACTTGCGACTAGCGAGCTACACCCGAGGCTGTTGCAGGAGGGGACGCCCGCGGGCAGACTAGCGAGCCGCCCCGAGGCCGTTGTAGAAGGGGGCACCCCCGGGTAGACTAGCGAGCTGCCCCGAGGCCGTTGTGAAGGACACCCCCAGGCAGACTAGCGAGCTGTCCCGGGGTCGTAGAAGGGGACACCCCCGGGCAGACTAGCGAGCTGCCCCGGGGTCGTTGTAGAAGGGGACACCCCCGGGCAGACTAGCGAGCTGCTCCGATGCCTTTGTAGAAGGGGACACCCCCGGGCAGACTAGCGAGCTGCCCCGAGGCCGTTGTGAAAGGGACACCCCCGGGCAGACTAGCGAGCTGTCCCGGGTTCGTAGAAGGGGACACCCCCGGGCAGACTAGCGAGCTGCCCCGAGGCCGTTGTAGAAGGGGACACCCCCCCCCGGGCAGACTAGCGAGCTGCCCCGGGGTCGTTGTAGAAGGGGACACCCCCGGGCAGACTAGCGAGCTGCCCCGAGGCCGTTGTAGAAGGGGCATCCCCGGGCAGACTAACGAGCTGCCCCGAGGCCGTTGTAGGAGAGGATATCCCCGGGCAAACTAGCGAGCTGCCTCGGGGTCGTTGTAGAAGGGGATACCCCCGGGCAGACTAGCGAGCTTCATCCGGGACTTGTAGAATTGGGCATCCCAAGATTCTCCAAATGTTTAGGGCAATTACCCGACCTGAATACCAAAATACACGCTGTTGAAATCTGATAGTATCCGCATCCCCCCGCCACGGGCAACAAGCTTGCCTTCCCGCTAAGCTCCGGATTGATCAGGGACCAAAAGACCGGCATACAGACAGCCCCTACGCTGTAAACAGGCCAATATGGGTAAAAATTGCCGTAGCTTCCCAGCTCGACACGTTTTGGAGGTGTTTACTGCCTCCAAACGCCGAGCTGCCTCAATGTCACCCATAGAAGGTACAGTAACTCACCCACCAACCAATCATAGGCAGGTCCTGAGTGACAAGAGTACATAACCTGAGTACACACACCAGGTTGCTATCATAAAAATGTTAGAAATTACTCGTAACATCGTATGGTAAAATTAAAATTCCAACCACTCAATGACCCCCGGTGACGCCGACAACGCGAGCAGCGACCGCGCGCGACCCCTGACAGCGCGCCTCCGAATAAATTAATAAAAAATATATAACGCTTGGAAAAAGGCCATACATCACAAAAACAGCTCACCTCCCAAAGGGTACGCTCACTACGCCAACCCCTACGCCAGTATCAGTTGTCCTGTATGGGAACCACGTTTCAACCATAGCCAGGCATAACCAACGACAACTCTACAAACTCAACTCCCAACCCTCAACACCAACACCACCGGTTAACACCGGCCCACCTCAGTGGCCACTCAACACCTAAGCCGGCCAGGTCGCGCGCTTGGAGCTGCTACCCCTTGGAAGAATGAGCTGAATCCACTCAAACGGAGTGTAGAATGCCAATGTCCAGCGTTCTAAGCAAAAGCAAAAAGGTATAACAAATTCCATCTAAAGTGATCAAGTACCTACCTACCGGAGCAATACGTAAACCCCCCAGTTACTTAAATATCCTGGGCAACATTTGGTGTTGACCAGTGAAGCGCCATCAATAAATTGTTTTTTATATTGTTTGTTTGTTTTTATTTTTACTATACAATTCTTTTAGTTTTTTTTTATTTCATATACCTACATTTTTTATACCTAACCCCCATTTACCCAAATAACCTAAGCGCAATTGACGTTGACCAGTGAAGCGCCATAAACTACTATTAAAACTCATCGCTCCGACAGCACCACGCCACTATAGCTGAGCCCGCCATTCACGGGGTGCGCTCACCATGGCAAACCTTATGCCAGTAGCCGTTTACCTGCATGGGAACCAAGGTTCAACCATAGCCAGGCATAACCGGACAACTCTACAAATTCAACCACCGCTCACAACACCATCACCACATCATTGGTGAACCGCACTGGCCCACATCAGTGGCCACCCAACACGTAACCCGGCCAGGTTCTGCACTTGGAGCCGCTATCCCGTGAAAAAATGAGCTGAATTCACCCATACAGAGTGTGGAACGGCTAAGTCCAGCGATCTAAGAGAAGAAAACAATAAGACCCCTAGTTTGTAAATGATGAGTTGTAACCGATGAGTTTTTTTTTAACCTACCCCTCCCAGAACAAATTAATATTTTAACTGGAAATAAACCATACCCAGCCATAAACCACTCCAAATAACTCCGCAACTAGCCCACTTTCCACCTCTTACTAACCATACACCCGGACCAGTTAGGCATCCCACCAACCCCTCCATTATTAACAAATTGCATACGAACTTTATCAGCCATCAAAGTATAAAAAACAATCAACGTCCTTGCAAAAGCAATATTGCATACAGAACACACATTAATTATTGAAAAATACTTCTTAGCGAAAGAACCCACAAAAAAAAACTGAATTTCATACTCCCTTTGCTCTGCGACGGTTGCACTAGATCGCCAAAAAAACACGGCCAAGGCGGCCACAACCGAGCTGCGACCATCTGGACAGCTCAACACTCAGTCAGTACTGAGTGAGTGACGTCAACCCTGATGCTGGCGAGGGGTACCAGTGCCCAAAAATTTGTTGATTAAGGCATGGGAAACGTCACCCAAATGAAAATCACTGTTCACTCGCCTCCAATTTTTAATAGCCCATTTTCCACTCCCATTTTTACCCAGAAAAAGCGTTCGCATGGATGGATAGCCATTTTACTTCCCACATTATACCAGCCTTTTATGAAATTTTGCCGCGCATCCTTTTTCACTCTTTTTAGGCCTTATTTGACCATCAATTTTCCACCCCACACTATTCCTTTTTGGTGAGAAATTTTCATAGACCCGGGAACAGGGGGGGGCAGCGGGGGTGCTTGCCCCCCCCCCAACTTGAGCCGTGGGGGCGTCGCCCCCTCAACATTGAGGCAGAGAGAAAGGACCTTTCCTCCCTTTTCCGGACTTCTTTCCTTCTTGTTTCCTTTATATATCTTATCAGGACACGGCCTTTCCTTGCCATCTGAATGGTTTCTGCCGATACAGTATCGATTTGATATCTGCTATTGTCATCCCACTGGTTTGGGCCTGATTGATTGGTAGTTTGGCAGGTCAGCTTTTACATACATATACTGGACCATTTTGAGCCAACCCTGAGAAATACATAACGTACAACGGTGGTAAAATCGTTGCTATAGGTATAACACAGTTTACCCGCTCCGGGTGTGAGGGAGGGGTGTGGGGCAATGAGTGCACTGACGTGGCGCCCACGGAAGGCCGGTAGGGATTAAAGCTCAGCGACACCTTGGGCCTGTATGGCGCCTCCGGTTATCGGTAGCATCCTCAGAATCACCGGCGTAGGGCCCTTAGAGCCGCCGGTAAGGGGCCCGTAGAGGCACCGGTGTGGGACTGTCATGCAGGTGCCGGTGCGGGCGCTGAGAGGCACCAGTGTGACTCTCTCAGAGGCGCCGGTGAGGGTCCTACAGGCGTTGCTGTGGGCCCTCATAGACGCTGGTGTGGAGCAGTTACAGACTGGTGTGGGACCTGAGCTGCTGACGCGAACCCTCTACAAGCCGGCAGGGGGTTCTCAGTGACCGGCAAGAGGCCCCTGTCACCGGTGTGGGGCCCTCAGAAGTCACTAGTGGGTGGTCCCTAGATGCGCACTGCGCAGGTGTTTGGTAGGGATTCGAGTCCTCACTCTCAGAGCCGCCGATATAGGGCTTTAATAGGCACTGGTGTAGGCACTCAGAGTTGGAGGCGTGAAACCCTCAGAGACACCGGTGTGGGTCCTCATAAGCGCCGATGAGGGCCCCCACAGTTGCCGTTATTGGGCCCTCAGAAAAATAATTGTGGGACCATGACTCAGAGGCCGGAGTGGGGCCTTAAGGAGATCTTAGTGTGGCAATTTAGGGCCCATGCGGTGCTCTAACGAGACGAATGGGGCCCTCCCGAGTCGAAATATGGCCATCGTTAAGCCTCAGATCAAATGGTGCCGCAGGGCCCCCCGGACCCGAGGGTCCCTGTGAACCCGATTGGGGGGGGGGGAGTGCGTGTTCCCTTAGACCCCTAGCTACGCCACTGTTTCATATGCATCAAGTCAGGTATTTTAGGCTCGCCTCCCCCCCCCCCCCAACTTGAAAATCGTTCCCGGGCCCCCAGGAATTTTCCTCAGACACCCCAGCCAAAATACAATTTAGGGACACCGAGGGGTACCCCAGTCCTAACAACGTATACTGACTAAATCCTTTTTACCTATTATTGATAGCACCTGACCTGTATTGTTCATTTGCTGATTGCAGGAGAAAGGTCATCCCATATCCTATAGCGACAAGTAGAAAAAAAAAATCAAAGAAACAGACTGCTTTGAATATAGTTATAGACGATTTAACAAGCCTCAGCAGCAGCAGCAAACCAAGGTTGAAAACACGTTGAACTTAGAGTTGACTAGATTTCATTTTTTTTTTAATACCTTCAGGCCTCGTAACGATTTTATCAGAATTTTATTACTATCTTACTTTCCACCAGCATTGCCCCTCATGTTCCTATTGGTGGAACCAAATATCCCCACAAAAATGCCGATATCGCCCATGCCCAAGCGTTCACTATCTACCCTATCGGGTCCCCCTAGAACCTCCATTAACAGATATGTACCGGGCCCGGCATACATGGAACAACGTACCTTTCAAAACCCCGGCCACCTTGGCCTATACCTGACGATGTCCCGTAAGACCTGCTAGGCAGCACGGGCAGCACCACTGGAGCTAGATGAGCTGGGAGGGGTCGGAACTCCCTCAGCTGACGCGGGAGCTGTGAAGAAATCCTCCAGCGGCCAAAGAAGACTCTGGCCCAGCGGGCCGGCCCCGCCGAGTGTGCCGATCCGTCGCCGTTCAGAGTCGGATGCCAACCACCCACCAAGCCATGGAAGAAAAAAACGGATTGTGTCACATAACCATTTTTAGCCGAAAGCTCGTATCAAAGGAGGGTATCGGGAGGGATTATACATACTGGAGCCATTTATCTGACAATGCGCGCGATGACACATCGGCAGGATATGCATATTGCATACCAACATTACCATGATGATTGATGTCGCTTATGCATGCCTAGGCAATGCTCTATTTATTGACCACGACAAAAAGGCACCTTACTCTGGCAAAAAAAAAAAACGATTCACAAACGCCACTACCATAAAAAAAACTGAAAACAGTTAACTCGCACCTCAATGTAGAGTGAGAGCAAAACAATCACGGGCTACCATAAAACTGCATCGTTATAGAAAATGGCATACCTAATGCAGTCTTTAAATATGAGGGTGAAAACTTCCTTTGGGTACTATCCTGTAACTTACTATATTATCGCCAGTGCATCCAAACTACCTAACATAATTTCCCATCTAATCTAAAATATCCTAGTCCCGACTCCCGAGACTTACCACACAAGTGGTTTCCACTATCACCTCTGCACCTCCGTACCTATATCACCCACTTAACCTTTCACTCCAACCTAACCAGGTAACAATACCATTTTAGACCAATACCATTGCATTGGGTATCATTAGCATGAACTCCATTTACCCTCTCAAGTCTCACCTGGTAGTTGGTACCCTTATCAACAATCCCTAACCCACTAATGAAAACCCCGCTCGGACACGCTCGGACAGAGCCAACATCACCAGCAGCTCATTCTCCACGGGGTACGCCCACCTGGCACACCTTACGCCAGTAACCGTTCACCTGTATGGGAACCACAGTTCAACCAATACCAGGCACCACCAAACGGCAATTCTACCAACTCTCTGCACAACCACCGGCCAACACCACGTGGCCACCAAACCCTACGCCGGCCAGGCCCACCTGGCCCACCTGGGCGTACCTCCACGGGGTACACCCACCTGGCACACCTTACGCCAGTAACCGTTCACCTGTATGGGAACCACAGTTCAACCAACACCAGGCACCACAAAACGGCAATTCTGCCAACTCCAACCACCGGCCAACACCACGTGGCCACCAAAAACCCCACGCCGGCCAGGCCGTGCACTCTGAGCTGCTACACCGAGAAGCATGAGCTGATTTCACTCACACTGAGTGTAGGATGGTAAAGTCCGGCGTTCCGTTCCAGGGAAGAAGAAAAAAAAAACAGTTTCAGCTATGTTACACATAGCAAGAACCTACACCCAATCTCCCAAAATCTGAAAAACACCACCAAGCAAATTAGCAGTCCATGTTTCATTCTTTTATCCAACCTTCAAAGAACCTATAATACCAGGCATTTGCCGACCCATTGCTCATCGACCCCTTTCTTACCTCGATAGCACAACATAAGCACAAAAATAACCAAACCTCATGCCGAAAATAAAAACAAACAACTAACAAACAACAAACCAGTAAAAATAAACATAAAAAACCCGAAAGGAAAAACATCCTCGTCAATCAATATAACAACGATATAAAACCGAACTTATACTCCCCTTGATGTCTTCCAGTTTCCACTGAACACGACCGCAGTAAACGCAAAAACATTTCAGAGCGAGAACACTGCTGACTTGCGTCAGACCGGGCGGCTTAGAACAGAGTGACCGCGCAAATGCACTCAAACCCCGCGCCGTCACCGTCACGTGACACGAGTCGCTCCACCAATCAGAGGAGGCCGCCGCCTTAGCGGCCTTGCCGCCCGGGGGCGCAGGCGGCCGCCCGCCTGCCGCCGAACGCTGCTCGCCGAGGCCGGCCCGGCTCCGGGGCCGCCCCAGAGAAGACGCTCGTAGTGTCGCGGAAAAACCGGTTATATCTTGTCATATATAACCGGGCGTATTTATTTTACGTCACGATAACGGTTTCGAATAGTGATTTCGGTAGGGAAGCTTACAAATGGCGTGGTAAAGCTGCCTAGTGACATCACGGGTTACTGAAGTTTCAATTCAAGTCTGAGTCATCTGAAAAAGTGAAAAGAGGGTTCATTCAACCCTCTTTCCTATAAGCGCGAGGGTGAAAAAGGCTGTTTGGTTCTGACATTGTTTGGGACGCCAATGACCATAGCTGTCCGAGATGAAAGTTACAGGACGCATACATGGTGTCCTCCAGAGGTCTCACAACTTGTATATCTGGGAATTTTTCAAGGTTACATGAGGTCAGGTCGGTCACGTGACATCACTGTTATAAATCAATGGGGAAATATAAAAACTGTTATTTTGGCGCCGAGAATGATCTAAAACTATCCCACGTACATGGTATCGTGCTTTCATGCACTCCTTGCAAAGTGCAACGCTTTACTTTTGCATTGTTAACCTTGCGTGACGTCATTTATGACGTCACTAGGGTCGTACGAGTTTTTCGTCAATAACTCCCGATCAAATGGAGCTAGAGAGTCGGGAAAGCCACCAATAGACTCGGGAAGACCTTCCGAATCGAATGATATGCCATATGATACCCTTTGCCCAGCTTCGTGACCTGAGGGGCTCTGACCTGACCTTGACCCGAGGTCAACTACTTAAGTTGACCTCATCCTAGCAAAAAGTATACCATTCGATGCACCTGAGCTAGGCGAACACAATGATGCCAAAATCGCGGCTCTGCGGTCATTTTTTGCGAAGTTATTTACTAAAAACCGAACCCGTAACTTCAGTCACGTGACCTGACCTCAGACGCTACCGGTTAACCTGAGACCTTAAAATCGGGTACCAATCGCTGCGACTTGTAACGGCACACACGCTCGTTTTTTCCGCGAGGCTCTAGCTCTATTAGAAGCGAAACGGCGTGCTGGGGTCGTATCAACCCCTCCGAAACCCATTTTGTTTGCGGGAAAATGAGGAACTTATAGAAAGAACACCTTTCTAATTTTTTGCATGTCGATTTGCAATGACATGAAGATTATTTTGAAAAAATAAAAATGTGAAAAATTTTGGTCCCAAAAGTCATTAGAGGCAAATGAAAAAACATTAAGGTTTTTGCTCAACAATGAAATTTTTTCTTTGGAATTTTTAAATAGTAACATTAATTTTTGATTCATTGCAAGCTTAGTGTTGCTTACTTTTTGTTGGTTGCTTAACCCGTTCTTGAGTTATAGGACATCAAACTCACCGTTACATACCGAAGTTAAAAAAATGTAATGCAATATAACTCAAAAAGTTTTGATCTGAGAAGTCTGATATTTTGCCAGGCGTCTTTGGGGCCTATGATTACCCCTAGGACCGATTTTCATTAAAATCTGAGAGATGAGGGTGACGGGCCTGGTATACGATCTATCGTGGAATGCCCCAGCTGTTTAATCAACACGTATGGTAATGATAGTGCATCCACGATAAAAATTAATTTTATTGAGATCAAAGCTATGGGAATAGGAGGACAGTCTAGGGGAAATATAATGTCATTAACTCCACTTGTCTGATACTGACAGATCCATCAAGAGCACTACGAGTACGACTTACGCCGGCTGGCTTCAGAGTTCGGGGGCCTTCTCGGCCTTCTGGCCGGGATCAACCTCTTCCAGGGCATCAACCACGCCATCGACGCCCTCAGCTGGCTGGCCGACCGAGCGCGCGACCGCTGCCGGCGCCCGCGCGGGCCGGGGGACGAGCCTGCCGTCCTAGGTGCCGCCCGGCTTGATGTCAAACCCAACGTACAGGCGTTGACCAAAGTGAGCGTCGCCTCGAATCCACCGGCCCTTCAACTGCCATTTTGAAAAGTCTAACGTTCTGAGAGGAATCCATACATGCAACAAACTGATTCCCTGGACATTGCCAAGAACAAGGACGGGCCCGATGCCGTATATGTAGATATGTTCCCTTTTACTGGATGGTGTTAGGCTGGTTGGATGACATGAGCGAGCAACCAACACATACAAGTTACAACGTATATGTATCCATCGAGTCTTTTTTTTTGCATGCGGAAATGTTTTATCCTCTACGCATTAGCCTTTATGTGTATATGTTGTAATGGTCGTTGCAATGAGCATAGTATACATACATGTTTTAGTACTGAAATCAGAGGCATATAGCCATGCCTAGATATCTTTACCTAGGTAAATGTAAATGCTCTTTGATGATGGAAAGCGTCAGAATTAGAGGTGGCAAAATGTGGACCCGAGGAACCGGTCAATGGAACCAGTCTGGACTCATATGGGTCCAGGTCGGCTCCTAGAAAATTTTTTGACGGGTCCAACCGGTTCCTAACATAAACCATGCTAAACCTGATTACAAAATACGAAGTGAATGACAAATAAAATCATTTGCTCATGCTGTTTTTTTTTTCTTTAGAGTAGTCTTTCCTTAGATTAACGGAAATTTCTGAGTATGAGCGGCCGGCCGGCCGGCCGGCCGGCCGTGGTCACGCTTTTGCGAGGCTTATATCTCAGCAACCACTTGACCGATTTACACGCGGTAATTTTTATAGGGTAGCTTCATTCCTTCTACCAAGTATTGGACTATTCCCGATGCATGTGGGTGACCCCTTATGCACGTGCCACGTGCAAAACGAAGAGGTGTCAGTTTTGTAATTGTTGCAATATCTCGGTAACTACTTGGCCGATTGCGCTGAAAGTTGGCATGTAGGTAGGCACCCACTAGGCACTGCATATACATGTGCCAGAGTTGGGGTGCTGTTGCACGTGCGCACGTGCAGGGGTCGTTTCCAGATCTCGGGAACGGCTGGACCGATTGCGCTCAAATTTGGTACACGGTTAGGGACCGGTTAGTAGGGTGCCGTGCACAAGTCAGTTGGGACCCATTTTGCACGTGCGCACGTGCAGGGTGCCGATTCCAGAACTCGAGAACGGCTGGGCCGATTGTGCCCAAATTTGGCACATCGCTAGAGACCAGTTAGTAGGGTGCCGTGCACAAGTCAGTTGGAGGTATCCCCTCGCAATTTCGCACGTGCAAGGCCCACCCTCTCGCTCGCTCCGTTAGTCGCCCCAAAAGGCGTTATACTGGTATTTATTGTCTTTTGGGAAACGGGTCAAACAGGTTCCGATCCTAACTTAGACCGGGTCTGGCTGGTTTCAGAAATGTCCAGTCGGGTCTGATTCGATTCTGGTTCCAAATTTTTTAACCTTTTACCACCTCTAGTCAGAATGTGTTCGGTGCCTTTTTTATACAATATGGCTCTAACATAATAAAAACGTCATGGGTCATGTGCAGTGTAAAGGTACATTCAGGCCACCAGAAAGTGTATCGATCCTATACCGAGTGTCCCAAGCGGCCCATCCAGGCAGTGCATTACGCTTCGCTTCCAAGCAAACAGAAAATGCGCTAAGCCTCGCCCTTTCCATGAATGCAATCGCGCACATTGGCATTTTATTGCTAGAAAGGCTGTCAGTAATCATCATTGTGTAAAAAGTCACTGTATGCCGAAGGCGTTTCATCACTCCCTCGAGCTCAGACAATGCAAGACGCATTACCTAATGAGCATTTGGCAATAGCGGCGATGACAGCACATACCTACTCCTTACCATATCGATTCGCGATCCACATTTTACCCTACATATGTGTCTGCAGGAGGGTCAAAAGATGGCGCCCTGACCTTTACTTTCAAAGGCTAAGTACACTACACTACCAAACAATGCGCCGTCGACATTAGGGTGACATCTTACCCAAAATGAATTCGTATTTATGAAATAACATCTCTATGCGGACCACAACAAATGCAGTTCCTGGCCAGATCGACAGCAACATGTGCATTGGATTCGCGCTTTATTCGTATACCATTTTATTGTACCTATATGGACCCAACTAACGTTCCAGCCGGATATTAAACATGTTATAAATAATCGCACTGTATTGCAAATCGATGACTTTCAGTTCCGTTTTCTGCAACTAGTAAAAGGCGCATGTCTTTAGATTCAGGCTCGCCCTCACGTCATCCAGAAACTGAGCCTTTGTGTAGTGTGCCTCGGGAGTCACATGCAGCGGCAGAGCCAGTGTCTTGAACGCGTCGGCGTACTGCTTCGCGTCAATCACCCCTGTGTGGTTGACGTCGTACTTGTTGAACAGCGCCGTCACGTTGGCATCTGTGAAGAGACTGGGCGCCGGGCGCGCACTGTTCTCCCTGAGCTTCATCAGGTTCTCCAGCTCCGTCTCCATGAAGGAGACAGGGTTCTCCGGCTGGAAGAACAGCAACTTCGCCAGCAGGTTTTCCATTAGTGTTGGAAGTTTGTGTTTGGTCAGGTATGCCCTTGCTGTTTCTTGACGATCTTTCATTGCGTCATCCAAAGATCATACAGTATACAAAAAATGAACTTCTCTAAACACACCGGAAAAGTGCAAACGTAAGAGCGGCAACGAAACCACGCGATCCCAAATTCAGTGGAGATTTATTTAAGTAATGCTTATACGCATTCCAAAAAGGTAGAAACCCTATATCTTGGTGGAAACACTTCAAGATAAGCCAAGATAAGCCAAGCCGGTTATCGCCTTGGCCTGTTTAGCCGAGTTCAACTGGCTCGTGTTACAATGACAAACGCTCTTCTGCGAA